TATACTCTTGATAATGATGATATATGAGTAATTTTTGATGCGAAAATAAATGTTTCAGATCTGTTGGCATACAATCTGATGGCGTTGACCATAGGGAGACACTGAAATGCATAGTGAAATTGCCAAAATCTACATAATTTGCATAATTTAAAAAACATAAAAACCCACGTGATATGTTTTGGGGCCAGTCCTTATTCATTCACATACCAGAATTGAGCAAAATCCGTTGAACCTAAACTGACTTATGGCCATTTCCATTTTTGCCAAAAAGTGGACGTCGCTCGAAAGTAGGTCGGCTGGTGTGCTCCAAAATAGGACGTTCAAACCTCTCCCATAGGAGTAACAACTGTACATGCAATTTGAAACATGTGGACCAAACGGTACCTGAGTTATCGTTGACCGTAGCCAAATGTTGACGGACGGACGGACGACGGACGGACGACGGACAACACCCCATGGCAATAGCTCATCTTGACGATGTCAAGGTGAGCTAAAAAAATCGGCAATTCAACGTTCGCCTCTAACTCGATGCTGTGCCTATCACAACGTTTCGAATCAACGAAATTGACAGCATTTACTCTCCGAACCTTTTCCAGCGTGACTCTCACTGAATTGCGCGCTATGTCTACACATATCTGGTTACGCCGCCTAATCCGCGGACAATATTCATCGGCAGCGATATAACAACCCGCAGTTTTCCCGACGCAGCATTTCGCTAATTACGCTCATGTACATTACGGGCAGGTGGTCGCAACAACACGGCGACTGCACGCTGCCGCCCCTAGTGACGATGAAGCAATCCGCAGCATTTTTGATCGCTCACCCGTAGGACGTTTATTTTGTACCGCAGACCAGTGTTTAATCAATAACGCGAGATACGGGGTCACAGTATCACTGTTAGTTTAGTCTCAGTCACCTACACCGTGTCAGCTGTACATGTATTGTACCCTCTGTACCATACATCGCTGAGGACTATACGATAACGATGTTACCTTTATTGACTTGCCTTATGTGTAGTTACATTATCAAAGCACAGATTACCGGTACACGTGTACAGCAGTACGATAACAAAGCATATAATAAAGGAATCCCTTATAATGTTCGCGTAATGTGATAATAATTCGTTGTTATAGATGCCGATAACGCAGTACCCGACCCAGTGTTTTTTGCACTGCGCTTAAACTGTGCCTAGAGTAACCTATACCCTATATCCTCGAGTATGGTGGCCGAGATGGCTACGGATATTTTTATTATTTATTTGTAATTCTTTTTCATTTCAAATTCATTTT